ACATTGTCCTCAATGAAAAAGTAAAGCAAGAGAGTTTAGAGGACTTTCCTGAGTAGTTGTCAGTCAGTGTCTTCATTGGGTGCAAGAGGAGGTGTGAAAGTTGCAAGGGTTTAGTTTTTTTTTTATTATTTTTTTTTATTAGAGGTAGCGCCAAGGGGCTGCGTGGTAACGCCAAAGCACTATGTGCTCTGCCATTTTTTCCCAAAACACTCTCTTTTGAGCGCCAAAGCGCTACTGCTACTGCCAAATCTGTGCTTTCATGCTTGCTAATGCCTGCTTGAGTTTCGTTTCAATTGCAAATCCTTAGAGCAACCCCAAAACTTGTTTATTAACTTTGATGTCTTCAGACGGACGTTTGGAGAAGTGCTCGTCAAATAGCGGCTTTCGCCCCCAAAAAGTGACATACAACACGATATATGGGTCTAGATTATGGATGCTCTCAAGCTTGGCATGATTTGGAAGTATTCGGCTCATTGTTCTAACACAGCTTCACTTTGATTGATGATGAGCTTGGAAGGAGAACTTTTCTTTGGGCTCGATCATGTAGAGGACATAATATGGTGATGGTGGTGTCGGAGGGAAGTAAGGATCCGTTGTTGGTGTGTATGATAAAATCACAAATGAGCTCAATTCAATGGCCTCGTATGCTTCTTCATCCTCCAACGGCTCTCGTACCTCTTCTTCATCTAGGAAATCCTCAAATAATCCCTCTAATTTCTCTTCACTCTCAACTTCACTATCCATAGCCATGCATGAAATTTGGTCTTTACAAAACTCATGGTTTTGGATGGACACCTCGTTTATTAGCAAATCGGTGTCGGCACTACGAGAGTCCATCTGTGCTGAGGCTTGAGCAAAAATAAATTTGAAGGGTTCTTGTTCTTCTTCTTGAGGCTCATCTTCCTTTAGAGGCTTGAATTCCCTTGACAACTTCTCTTGAATGTACCAATCTTGATAAAACTTCAACATACCGTCCATCATTTGGTAGGCTTCATTCTCGGGTCTTTCACAGAATGGGGTTGTATCATAGCCATCTTCCACCCAACTTTTGGTTGCTATGCTCAATCATTTAATAAAGATTTGAATTTGAAGCCACTTTGGAATACCATGTTGCGGAAACCTAGCCAATAGCTCATTATATCTCTCCCAAGCTTGATGAAGCAGTTCAGTGTCGTGTTGAGCAAAAGTGATGATGGCTTGGCCCATCTCCAACTTAGTCATTATGTTCTAGTTTATATGATAATATTGTATGTCTAGTAAGTTTTACTATTTGTAAATTAGATTATATTACTTTTTTCAATATTCAATTTCAATTATAGTTCGGGAGTTTTCCTCCTTTTCAACTTGGTCCAAGGACTCCCTCTCTTACTCCATAGACACATAACCTCTAGACCCACCACTCTCATGTGTAAGGTGATATATATATGGTAATATTATATGTTCTAGTATATATGATAATATTATATGTTCTAGTTTATATGATAATATTGTATGTCTAGTAAGTTTTACTATTTGTAAATTAGATTATATTACTTTTTTCAATATTCAATTTCAATTATAGTTCGGGAGTTTTCCTCCTTTTCAACTTGGTCCAAGGACTCCCTCTCTTACTCCATAGACACATAACCTCTAGACCCACCACTCTCATGTGTAAGGTGATATATATATGGTAATATTATATGTTCTAGTATATATGATAATATTGTATGTCTAGTAAGTTTTTCTATTTGTAAATTAGATTATATTACTTTTTTCAATATTCAATTTCAATTATAGTTCGGGAGTTTTCGTCCTTTTCAACTTGGTCCA